CCCCTCCATCGCGATGCACAGGAACGGCGGCGCCCCCATGGCGCCTCGCCGGCCCCACCGTCGAAAAGCGGCGGGAGACGAGTGGGGGAGACGGGGGGGTCTGGACGGAGAGGGGGAGGGAGAGGCCCCGCCTTCCCAAAAACTACTGTCAGTTTCCCTGGCCCTGCCCTCTCCCGCCCCCCTTTCCTCTCCTCATGCACTGCCTTCCCCCCTCTCTGTGCCCCTTCCCCTCTTCCTGCCCCTGCCCCGCTGTCTACCCTGCCGTTCCCCTTGCCTGGCTCCCTTTGCGCCTCTACAGCCCGATCCCGTTCCGCAAGATCTCATCTCACCGTTCCCCTGCCTTCTCCCGTCTTGGCCCCTCCTGAGGATGGGGAGGGGGCCAGGCGAGGGGGGCAGGGAGGGGGGGGGGGGGACAGAGACAAGGTAGGGAGGGAAAGGGCGAGGGATGGGTGCGAGGGAGGGAAGGGGGAGGGAGAGGAGGGGGGATTGGGGGGATGGGGGGAGGGAAAGGGGAGGAGGAGGAGGAGGAGGAGGAGGAGGAGGAGGAGGAGGAGGAGGAGGAGGAGAAGGAGGAGGAGGAGGAGGAGGAGGAGGAGGAGATCCGTAGCCATTTTGGCTCAAGCCGTCGGACGCGCCCCCGGGGCTCAAGCTGGCTCGTCATGTGCGGCCGGTCTGTTGCTGCTGGAGGTGTTCCGGACTTGGGAATGGCGCGGGAGGGCGGAGCTTTTCTCCGCCCAGTGCGCTCTGCCGAGGCCCGCCGGGCTTCTCGGGCATGGGCGCGTTGGTCCGCTGACCGTGCCGTGGCCAAGCGCGTGGAGGAGCTGCAGGCCGTCCGCGGGCAGCTGGCAACGGCGGAAGCGGCCCTGGACTACATCGTGGGGGATGCGGAGGTGGCACAGCGTCTCCGCGCACTTCTGCCTGCCTTCGTGGCCACGCTCCACGGGATGGAACCCACCTGGCTGGAGAAGCTGCGGCGCAATGTTGCGCTCCACGCCGAGTCCCTCGAGATCGACGTGGCGTCAGCAGGCGCTCGCGAGCTTCGCCGAGCACAGCGTGGGCCTCGCCTCGAGGCACGGCGCGCGGGAGTCGGCCGCGCCCCCACCAGCCTCTCTGCTGATGCGGCGGAGTTCGTCCCTGGCACTTGGGAGCTGCTGCCCGTGGGGCCTTCCGTCCACGTCGAGCAGAAAGACTCCGAGATCCACGAGTTTTCGGACGGGGAGGCTTCGCAGTTTCCTGTGCTGGGGTCCCACCCCCCCAGTACGGACGGCTCTGAGGGTGGGGTTGCTGCGCAGTTTCCTGTGCTGGGGTCCCACCCCCCCAGTACGGACGGCTCTGAGGGTGGGGCTGCTGAGGCTGGGGTCAGCGCCACGGATGCGGATCTGGCGGTGGTCCAGCAGTTGCACGCCCAGACAGTCGGAGCCATCAACGCCAAGCGGATATCGAGGAGGCGCAAACTATATCCACAGCCGTTCAAGTGGAAGCTTGCCAGGCTGGAGCGTGAAGGATGGCCCGTGACTGTGGAGACGAAGGATGAGGCGTCCTGCAACCAGCAGTGACGCTCGTGTGCTCCTTGCCAGCGGTGGCGTGGTCCGTCGCCTACTCGGCCGTGGGGCTCGTGCCTGGCTTGGAGGTGCTCTTTGGGGAGCCCGTCGTTGCGCCCGTCGTGTTCCTCTTCTGATCCGCTCGGGCCAGTCTTTCAATGAGGGATTGGGTCCGCAGAGGCTCCAGAGGCTCCAGAGGAGGAGGAGGAGGAGGAGGAGGACTAATGGACTAATGGGCTGGCGACAACGAACGTCGACACACGTGAATTACTGGCGGAGGTCTTCCAGATTGGCCTCTGTAACAATCTTGGGGGGGCCCTTCACACAAGGGTGAAGGCCTCTCCTGATCCTCGCCAGATTCTGCCTCCCCTTCGGGGTGGGAGCAACACAAGGTTTGCAGAGGTGCCTGGGGTCAGTGGTTGCTGTAAGACCGCACAAACTGCAAAAGACGAGTTTGAATTCCCCCCAATACTGTAAGGCGTGGGACTCGTCAAGGACCTGCCCTCCCAGGACCCGTCGGCCTTTTAAGGCCGCGATTCCAGGGGGAGGGGCACTGTTAGCACACACTGTCGGTGCTGCCGCAAAGAACCTCGAACGGTTCACGAACACTTTGCAATTACGGCAATAAAACTTCGTGCCGAGCCTTCTCCACTCGTGCTGCGAGCCTCTCATGGCCAGCTCGAGTCTCGGGATCCGAACGGGGCGGGGGGCCGTGGGACGATTTTCGGTCCACGGGTCCGCACGTATGGCCTCCGCAAGGGCCCTACGCGCCCTACGTCTGATCAGGAAGGTCTCGGCATCCACCGCATCGGTGGAGGGTACACTCGTAACAAATTCAGACCATGCAACTGACGCTCCTCGGGAGGCCAGCTCATCAGCACATTCATTACCCACCGCCCACCACAAGTCTCGGTACGAGCGTATGTCTTCCGACTCACGGTGGGATGGGGTCCATTCGATTAGGACGGGGTCAGGGCCACGAGCTCGCACTGCTCGGCCTATTCTGAACCAGAGGTCGGCATTAGTACAACTGAACGACGGGGAGAGATGCCGACCTCTGTTCCAGCCGTCCTGGAGGGGCCTATGATCAGTGACATACCTGAGCGGCCCACAAGTGCATTCGAGGGCCTCCGCGAAGGCCGCAAGCTCGGCCCTCGGGACAGTCTGACGGGTGCCCCCCCAAGACTACAAACAATCCCCGCCGACGGGGTCCATCCACCAGCTGGGAGAGCTTCGAGGGCACAAACTCCAGAGCCAACTCTCCTGCGGCGGGGGTCTGAGGAGTGTTCCCCTCCAGAGCCATCCCCAAACACCGTGAGGAACCCGTCAGGGTCTCTCGGGATACTCGCGAAATCACCGAATTCGGAGCGGTGGGGAGGGAGGTCGAGGTCGAAGGAGGGGGTCGTGGCCTCGACACTCGGGAGCCCTCGCAGCCAGTACGAGGGCCATGCCTCGTGGCACGCGGTGGCCCGAGGGATGAGGTAATCGGATTTCTCGAAATCGGGGTGGCCCTGATTACAGACGCACACCCAAACACGATGGAAAAGAGAGTCGGCCGCCTGGCCGCAGCGGGGGCAGGCGTCAGGAGCCTCGTAGCCGGCCTCCACGCGCCTCTGCCTGGTCCACTGGCCCGCTGCGACGACCGCCACGTCGAGCGCCCAGAGGTCGTCGTCCCCCCGCTTCTGGAACTGCTGCATCTCGCGCCTTATCATGAGCATGTCGGTGCCGCCCGCAATGTCCGAGGACCCCTGGTGCAGCGCTGCCTGCTTCCAGAGCTTCCTGTCGATGGACCGCTCGAAGTCCAGGAGCAGCTCCACGTAGTCCGCCGCCGCCTCCGCGAAGCTCGGCTGGTTGGGGCTGGGGAACCGCCAGCCCGCGTCCTCGTCCGTGACCCAGAAGTCGTGGTCGACAGGGTCCCATCCTGCGTCGAGGAGGGTCGCCACTGTGGCCGATGTTGGCCCACGCACTCTCCTCCAGCGGTTCTCACCCGCCAGACGGAGCCTCCTGAGCGACTGCTGCCAGGCCTTGGCGATCCTGGCGTGCAGCTCAGGGTGGGCGAACCACTGGTCCAGCCAGGCCGCAAGCTGCTCGCGCGGGATGCTCTTGGATGGCGAGGGTGCTGGTGAGGCATCGCCCTGGCCCGCGCCCTGCTGCCGCCTGCGCCGCCTGCCTCCTCAGCCTGATGATCTCGTAGTGCGGCAAGCCCTGCGCCTGGCGGCCGTAGGTGCCCTGCGCTCGAGCTCCTGTCGTCCAGAGGCCCTTGGTCACTACTTTGAGCCGTGCCATCCTGCGCATCCTCCTGATGGCGTGGGCACGCCTGGCGGCCTTTTGCATTCTCTGTCTGCCTTTGCGTCGTGTGCGCGTGGTCGCGGCGTTGCAGTCCACACCCAGGTCTGTGAAGTTGCCCTCTGCCTTGGCGGGAATGCCGCGCTGCTGGAGGCCCTTTGCAATGGCGATGGCCAGCTTCGTGGAGCTCGCTATCACCGTGGTCTTCGGGGAGACCGTGAGGCCCGCCTCCTTGAGGCACTCGCCCAGCTTGGCGCCGCTGTCGATCAACTGCTTCTCCACGTTGGCCTCGGTGCCTTGGGGGCGCAGGACCGTGTCGTCTACGAACGTCCAGAGGCCTATGTCCGCCTGCTTCGTGAGCTGCGCACGGTGGAGGATGGGCCCCATGAAGGCCTTGGCCAGCCGTACTCCTTCAGGAGAGCCAGCCAGGATGGAGCGCCACGGCTGGATCTCCCTGCTGACCCACTGCCGTTCCTTCAGCAGCCTCGGCGCCAGGTGCATCTGGACCTCGAGGCAGAGCACGATGGGAGGGTATCCTTGCTCCAGCGCATGCTGTACAAGCTTGACCACTCGGATGCTGTCGTAGAACTTGGCCAGGTCTAACAATAGCGTGGCCGTGGTTATTCCCATTTCTCTTGCTGTTTCGTCAAGGGTGGCTCGAAGGATACTGGCCCGCAGGGCCGACGATCCTCGTATTGCTGTGTCCCAGAACTCGCTCAGGTTGACACTCCACTCGCTCGTGATGCTGCCCCTGAGCTTGCTCCATGTCTTCATGACGAACGGAAGCTGGCCTAGGATCCTGTCGCCCCCTCCCTTTTCTTTGGGCACAACGGTTCCGATGGTCGCGAGCATCTGTCTTGGCCACGCTCCAACCTCCTCGATGCCATTGAGGAGGTCGATCATTCCTTGTCTCCCCTCAGTCGGGAGCCTTTGCACCTCCAGCGGCCCGATGTTGTCGATCCCTTTGGCCTTGGTGGCCGCGATGGCGGGGAGCAGGCGGTCCAGCTGCTGCAGCTGGAGCGGGGCCAAGGGTTGCTGCCAGGCGCGGCCCATGACCATGTGGATGCCGTCGAGGATCTGGTCTGGGGTCACGCTAGGGTCGGCCCAGTGCTTTTCCCATTCGTCGGCGCGGTTGCTCATGATCTGGTCAGGGTCCTCCACGGAGCACCCTTGCTAGATCTTCTCAACTGTCTCAGGTCTCGGGTCCTTGACCATGTTGTGGAGGTGCCGCGGTGCTTCATTCCACATCTTGATTGCCCAGCTCTGGAAGGCCTTCCTCGACTTGGTGAGTGCCTGCCCGACGGCCCTCCCTTGGTACTTCTCGCTGGTCTCGATGACGGGGGCCACCTCCTCGACGGGGATGGTCTGCAGCGTCATCATCATGGCCTTCCAGTTGCCGAACTCCTCGCCGTCGTCCTTGTTGAACACCTCATGGATCTGCATCTCCTCGGCCTTCTGCATGATCTCGACGATCTTGCCGTTGCAGCTGGTGGCCTCTGTGATCCTTTCGGTGCGCCTGAGCATCTCGTAGCGCTTGAGGAGCGTCACCGCAATGCGCCACCACTCGAGGTGTGGGTCTCGGAGGTGCGCTCGCGCCGGTGTGGCCGAGGTCCTGACCCACTTGATGGCATATCCTCTACCTCTGCCCATGTAGGCATCCTGCTTGTCTGTGTCAATCTCGTGGTGCTGGAGGGTCGCAAGCTCCAGGGTCGTGATCCACCTCGCGAAGTGGCTGTCGATCTTCTGCTGGCCCAGCGGGTCCCTCGTCAGCAAGAAGTGGTGCTTACTCTGTTTGCTTCTCAATGTTGCTGTCGGTGGGGCTGCTGGTCTCTGCCATGCTGCCTTTCCTGGGGTCAGTCCTCTGCCGTCCAATGCAGCACTCGCTTCTTCCCACACTTGCACTGGGATGTTGAAGGACGTGGTGGGTGCAGCCTCCCTGCCGTCATCGTCATCGTCGAGATCGTCGTACATCTCGTCAAAGGCGGCCTGCATGTGCTCGTGGAGCCTGGCGCGCCTCTCCTCCTTGGCCTTCTGTAAGCCCCTCTGCCTCTTGCTGTTCGGGTCGGCCTGCTTCTTGGGCCGCGGGACGGTGGGGAGCTCGTGCGCGATGTCCAGCTTTCTGTGCCACCACCTCTGCTTGCCGTCCTTTATCATGAGCTTCAGGCCGATGTGGTCTTTCCACGGGACCTCCTCGACAGCCTGCAGCTTCAGGTGGGCTGCCGTGCCTCTGGAGACGAGGGCATAGTCGATGGTGCTACCCGAGCCCCTGTTGCACGTGGCGGTGCAGTTCTCCACCAGCAGCCTCTCCGCGTTGAGCTTCGTGAGCCATTGTGTCTTGTCCCACTCATCTGGCGTGATGTTCCAGTCGCCCAGGACCACCCAGGGGTTACGCAGCTGGCGGAGGAACGCGCCGAGCCTAACCAGGGTCCGCTGGTTGGCCTCCTTGAACCCGAGCTGAGGGAGGAGGTAGGCACTGACGATCACGATGTTTCCCGACTTGAGGTGCCAGCAAGTCGGGCAGAACCCCTCGAACGGGTCCTGACCAGATTTGTTTCTGCCTGCCTCTCTCCATGCCTCGAAAGAAGTAGTCTGTATCTGCTTCTTGGCCAATATCCATTCGCCTCCTGATGAGCCCGTCGCAGAGCGTCCCGTCAATCTCGCTGGTGTGCCAAGTAGCTTCCATCCGTCTCGAGACAAGTCGCTACGCGCCTTGCTTGTCTCGTTCTCGTTAGCATGTGTCTCTACCAGGCCGACGATGTCGTAGCCCTCGGCCTGGGCCCGCATGAAGCCTCTCGCTTGCGGGCCCCACTTCGTGATGTTGCTGAAGAAAACTGTCGCGTCAGTGCAGCGCTGCCTCTTGGTGCACTGCATGCTGGCTGCCTCCTGTCTCAGAGCTTCCGCAGCCTGGGCTCCTGCACCTCCGTCGGCCTCGTCCCCGCTAGGGAGACGACCGCCCTCCCCGCTGGGGCCCCTTGGAGGCCGCTCGGCCCCCTCCGCACGGTTTGGCAGCTCTGCCAGCGCCGCCAGGAGCAGGAGCAGGAGCTGCCGCAGCCAGGGGCGGGCCGCCGCTGGCGCCACTGGTGGCCGCTGCCGCCGCTGCGGGGCCTGGACCGCCCGAGGGGGCCGTTGCGCCGCTGCCGCAGGGCGGCTGGGGCCAGGCCGGCAGGCGGCTGCGCGCGTCGGCGATGGACTGCTCGAGGGTGGCCGCGAGCAGCTCGGGGTCGGTCTTGTCCAGGCCTGGGACAGCGATGCTCTCGACCGTCTGCTCCTCATCGCCCGCCATGGCAACATCAGGCTGCTCCTTGACAACCTGCTGCACTGGGGCCTCCTCCGCTCTGGCGGCCTCGACCCGCGCCCGCTTGTGCGGGCATGCCTTGATCTCCTCGATCTTGGCCCACATCTCCCTGACCTTTGCGTCCTCGGCGACCATGGTCTGGTACGCTGTGTCAAGGGCTGCGCGGTGGCCCTCCAACTCCCTCCTCTTCTCCTCGTCGAGCTGGTCGAGACCCTCGTTGAGGAGGGACATGTCGAGAGTGAAGATGACCTTCTTACCATCGCTGGTGGTGGTGTCGTCCGCAGGGCGCCTGTGCACCGTCGATGCCAGCGACTGGACCGCATCCTCATGGTCCTTCTTTGCCTTGATCCTCTCAGTGCACGCCATGACGTGCGCCTCCTTGGCCTTCTTGGTGGCGTACTCAGCTATGTTTTTGTTATTCGTTTTTTTTTTTTTTAGTTAGTTTTGTTTTTTTGGTGTTTTTTTTGTTTTATTTTGTTTATTTTTTTGTGGTTATTTTTTTTTCTTTTTTTGTTTTTTTTCTTTATTTTTTGCTTTTTGATTTTCTTTTTTTTGTTGGTTTATTTCTTTTTGTTTTTTTTTTGTTTTTTTTCTTTTTTTTTTGTTTTTTTTTTATTTGACGAGTGCGTCCGCGGCCTTCTGGAGCGCCGCCTCCTTCTGCTCCAGGATGGCGGCCGTGGACTGGACCTGCTGCGATGGAGTCCTTGCCTTGGTCTCCGCCTCGGTCTTGGCAGCAAGGTTCTTCTTGGCCTGCTCCACTGCTTCGTCAGGGAGGATGGCAGCACATAGCTCCAGCGCCTTCTTGAGCTGCTCCGCCGCGTTCTGCTGGGTGTTGCTGACGTTGCCTCGTTTGCCGCCCCAGCGACGGCCTTGCTGCCTTCCCTCGCGCCACGGCGAGCCTGCAGCGACGTCATTGCCAGCACTTTGTCCTCCCTGCGGCTTGTACAATTGTAGCTTGACTCCACATTTGATGCACTTCCCATTGTTGCGCTCGATCCTGAAGTTGAATGCCCACTGCCCGCATCCGCACACCGTGAATGGCTGCCTGCACCCATTCGAGAAACCCATGGTGTGATGTGGTCGAGAGCAAGGGCTTGTACCGACAAGCGGTGGCTGTCGGGGGGAACGATGCCCTGAAATGATCGGGGTATGGCTCGGACTAGAGCTATCCGTTTTGGCACGGAGGCGCGGAGCCCCCCCTTGCTAGGCATCTTGAGCCAAAATGGCTACGGAGGGGAAGAGGAGGAGGAGGAGGAGGAGGAGGAGGAGGAGGAGGAGGGAGGGGTAGGAGGAGTAGGAGGAGGAGGAGGAGGAGGAGGAGGAGGGAGGAGGAGGAGGAGGCTCTTGGCCAGCCCCCGAGGACGTCCCGCGCCGGGGCGGCTCTACAGCCCAGCGCCCCGCGGCGCCAGAGGCGCCCATAGAGGCCTCGAGAGAGGGACGGCCCCGCGGCGGCGAGCCGAGACAAGCGGGAGGCAGCACGCCTCGTGCCCCCCCTTTTGCTCGGCTGCCCCACTTTGGGGGGGGGGGGGGGAAAAAGGGCCAGGAACACCACAAATAATCACCAATCCCAGGGTTCCCCACATTTTTCTATCACAGTGCAGGGACCGAGCGGTCATTCACTGTCCCAGGGTGCGTGGCCGAAGTGGGATTCCGCGATGCGGGCTGCTCTTGGTCTTGTTGTTGTTGTTGTTGTTGTTGTTGTGGTTGTTGTTGTTGTTGTTGTTGAACTCTCTTCTCTGACAAGAATTATTGTTGATCCACGCCCACCGGTACATAGAGATTTTTGTATGTCAAAGTGTGCCCCCCGACGCTCGCATCCTTTTTTGTTGGCTCAAAATGGGCCCCTGGCCCCCGGGTTACAACAACAACAACAGTGGCTCCCGCCTGAAACCTCTTCACAACTTAGCCAGGACCCCCGCTCCCGCCCAAGACTTCCTCGCAGTTCATTCAGGAATCGCGCTCTCGCTTGGGACAGTTTTTTCAATGTATTCACGAATCGCTGTCGCGGCGCTCTGGAGTCGCGCTGTCGCTGGAGACTTGCTTGCAATTTACTGAAAAAGAGCGCCCTTGCGTTGGAGTTTCCTGCTTACTCAAACGCCGCGCACCCGACACCCAGGCACCCAGGAGTCGCTTAGGATTCCCTCGCAGGTTACGTAAGAATCGGGATCTCGACGCCCTTCGTGGCCCCGTTGCAGCCCTTCGTGGCCCCTCTCGCTTTGTTCCGCTGCTCCGTTGCAGCCCTTCGTGGCCCCCTCGCTGCCCTCCGTGGCCACGTTGCAGCCCCTCGTGACCTCCTCGCTGCCCTTCGTGGCCCCGTTGAAGCCCTTCGTGGCCCCCTCACTTTGATTCGTGGCCACCTCGCAACCCTTCGTGGCCCCCTCGCTGCCCTTCGTGGCCCCGTCACAACCCTTCGTGGCCCCGTTGCAGCCCTCCCTTCGTGCCCCCATCGCTGCCTGTCATGGCCCCCGTTGCAGTCCTTCGTGGCACCCTCGCTGCCATTTGTGGCCCCATATATGTATGCCCTTTCGTGGCCCCCGCTCGTTCGCGCCCGTGGTGGCCTCATATGCATGCCCTTCGTGGCCCCGCTGCCGCCCTTCGTGGCCCCTTTCGCTGCCCTTCGTGGTCCCGTTGCTGCCCTCAGTGGCCCCGTCCTTGCCCTCCGAGGCCCGGTGTACAAATGCCCTTCGTGGCCCCCGCTCGCCCGCGCCCGTTATGGCCCCATTTGCATGCCCTTCGTGGCCCCGCTGTCGCCAGTTGTGGCCCCCTCACTGTCCTACGTCGCCCAGCTGCTGCCCTCAGTGGCCCCATCGTTGCTTCTGTGGCCCCGCATTATCTGCCCTTCGTGGCCTACTTCGTGTCCTTGTGGCCCTGCTGTCGTTCTCTCTCGCTCTCGCTTTCGCTCGTCGTCGTCGTCCTCGTCCGCGTCGTCGTCGTCGTCGTCGTGGTCGATCCCCTGACCGTCCTTCTTGGGGTCGGGTCGACGGTCCGCGGCCGCCCCGCCGATCAGCGCTGCCGCTGCCGAGGCCGACGGTCCGCGGCCGCCCCGCCGCTTGCCGGGGCCCGGCCTGCAGGGAAGAAAGGTATACTCCCCAAAAGGGGTTCGATCAAAGACGAAGAGGGCGGGTATCAGGGTTCAGGAAAATACGCTTTATTGGACACTCGAGCAGATAAGGGCGAACAGTCTTAAAATGATTGTTGTTATGGAACTCCCACTTCTGAAGAAAAATTATTGTTCATCCCCTCACCAGTGCATATTGCTGTTCTCTGTCAAATGTGCCCCTCGACGCTCGCACCCTGTTGTTTGACAGGGGAAATCTTCCTGGTCAAACTGGGTCTTTGGCCCCCCGGACTACAACAACAACGACTCCCGCCTGAGACTTCCTCCAAATTAACTTAGGACTCAGGACCCCCCCCTCCCCTCTGAGACTTCCTTCCAACTTACTCACGAAGAGTCTCCCGCTCGATACTTCCTCACAATTTACCCCGAGACATCCTGTCCAGAGAGGCCCTCGAACTCAGGAGCGGCGCTCTTGCTCGAGACTTCCCCGCAATTCAATCAGGTCGGGGGAGGCCCAGCCACGACGACAAGGGCTCCTGCTCAATACTCCCTCAAGATTTATTATGACAGCCCCTGGCCAAAGAAAGGCCCCAGAACTCAGGAACGCCGCTCTCGCTCGAGACTTTCCCGTAATTCAACGATTTAGTGGAGGCCCGGACACGGCGGTAAGGGCTCCCGGATGATATTTCTCCAGCGGAATTCCGTAAGCCCCTGGCCAGAGAGGCCCCCGAACTCAGGAACGGGGCCCTCGTTCGAGGATTCATCGCGTTTCAGTCAGTGGCCGACAAAGACGAGATTTCCCCCGAAAGGGGTTGCAATCGAAAACGAAGTGGGCGAATATCGAGGGTCGGGGTATATGGAATGCAAGACACGCGTGCCAGTAAGAGCAAACAGTCTTATCATGACTGTTGTTGGTGGTGGTGTTGGTGCTGTTGGCGTTGAACTATCATTACTGGAAAACCAATGCTGTTGATTCCCACCTCTGGTGAACATTGCGTCTTTCAATTGAAGTGTTTCCTCCGGGGTTTGCACCGGGTTCTCTGGGATAATCACAAGGCTCAAACTTGCACGTTGGCCCCTGGATTACTACTACAACAACAACAACAACAACAACGGCTTCCGCTTGAAACTCCCTCACAATTTAGCAAGGACCCCCGCTCCCGCTCCCGCCTGAGACTTCCTCGCATTTTACTCAGGAGTCGCGCCCTGGCTTGGGACTACTTTATTAAAGGATCGCTCTCTCCGCGCTCTGGAGTCGCGCTCTCGCTGGTTAATTGCTTGCGATGTGCTAAAGAATCGCGCTCTTGCGTCGAAGTTCCCCCCCAATTCACTCAAGCGCCGCGCTCTCGACACTCAGGCACCCAGGGTCGCGCTCACGCTTAAGACCCCTTCGCAGCTGACCTGGGAAACGGAATCTCGCTGCCATTCGCGGCCCCGTTGCAGCCCTTCATGGACCCCTCGTTGCCCCTCGTGGCTCCCTCGCTGCCCTCCGTGGCCCCGTCACAGCCCTTTGTGGCACCTTCGCTGCAATTTGCTGCCCCCGTCGCAGCCCTTCGTAGCCCCCTCGCTGCCCTTCGTGGCCCCGCTGCAATCCTTCGTGGCCCCCGCGCTGCCCTTCGTGGCCTTGATACAGCCCTTCGTGGCCCCCTCGCTGCCCTTCGTGGCCCCGTTGCAGCCCTTCGTGCCCCTCTCGCTGCCCGTCGTGCCCCCGTTGCAGTCCTTCGTGGTCCCCTCGCTGCCTTTCGTGGCCCCGTCACAGCCCTTCGTGGCCCCCTCGCTGCCCCTCGTGGCCCCCATCGCTCCCTTTCGTTGCCCCCATCGTTGCCCTTGGCGGCCCCGTCACAGCCCTTCGTGGCCCCCTCGCTGCCCTTCGTGGCCCCGGTGCAATCCTTCGTGGCCCCGCCACAGCCCTTCGTGGCCCTCTCGCTCCCCTTCGTGGCCCCCTCGCTGCCTTCGTGGCCGCCTCGCTGCCCTTCAGTCCACTCTGTCTTCGCAGTCAGTAATGGTTCCCGCTGCAATTTTCCCTTTCCCCCCTCCTTATTGTTTTTTTTTTTTTTTTTTTTTTTTTTTTTTTCTTTTTTTTTTTTCTTTCTTTTTGTTTTTTTTTTTTTTTGTTCTTTTTTTTTTTTCTTTTTTTCTTTTTTTTTTTTTTTTTTTTTTTTTTATTTGTTTTTTTTTTTTTTTTTTTTTTTTTTTATTTTTTTTTTTTTTTTTTTTTTTTTTTTTTTTTTTTTTTTTGTTTTTTTTTTTTTTTTTTTTTTTTTTTTTTTTTTTTTTTTTTTTTTTTTTTTTTTTTTTTTTTTTTTTTTTTTTTTTTTTTTTTTTT